GGACTCAGCAGGCAAACCCATCTCGTTCTGTGCTGTGGGGAGCCGGATCTCCCCAACAGGCTTTGCTAAAAGTGGCAGAGCTGTCTCCACATCCACTAGCCACAACCCCAGCTTTCTCTTCTCTGCCCCCTTTAATTAATAATCCCGGGTTGGTGGGAGACGTCTTTGGTTTGATGGAGTAGTGCAGGCTGTCCACTCGAGGGGAAAGGAATTAAAGGGGAGGGGAATGCTGTCTCCCATGAAGTCTTCCTGGTGGTGGACAGTGCCTAGCTGGGCAGAGAGAATGGGAAAAAGAGGACATGGCAGAGCAACTGCCCTGGATGGTTGCGTTCCTGTGAGCCAAGCCAACGCCACAGTAGCCAGGCTGGAGCACTTCTCTGAGATTTTATCCAAGCAAGAGGGAGATTTTATCTGAGCAAGAGGGTTCCACTGCAGTCTCCAGGTGGTAGTGTAGCAAGACAGGAAGGTTAAAATCTGAACTGGATGTCCCATCAGAGAATTGTCTGGGGAGAGAATCATGAAAATTACTCAGTGTCCTCCTCCCCCCCAGGAAGCCATCACTTGGCCACAGCAGACAAGGAGAGTCAGCCAGCAGGAAGAGAGCTCTTTGTAGAGGCCAGACTCTCCAGGGAGCTCTGCCATCTCCTGCTTCTCCCTTCCCATTTCAACCCTGGGAAGGTGCTAGGATGCCGCTCCCAGCCAATCCTTTCTTCCCTGCTTTTTATTTCTAGCTGTCAAGATTTTTTTTTTTTTTTCCTGGCTCAAGTCAATCCTTGGATGAGCAGGGAAGATGAAATGAGATTTAAATTGAGTTTGAGAATAAAGCATCAAAGGATGGAGGTTTAACAACAGAAAGTGATCCAAAAGTAATGCAATCTGCCCAAAATGTCATTAAGGGACAGAAAAGGGAAATTGGCTGGAGGCGGAGAGTAGGGGTAGAGCTTCATTGTGCCCAGTGGCATCGAGCCGCCTCAGCACACTGGTTCCACAAATAAACAGCATAATTGAAGTACAGGCTGGTGGAGCCGAGTTTCACTTGGGCAAGTGTCTGTGGGACTGGGAGAGAGAGAGAGGCCTTGGGGAGGTGAGTGTGTTCATCCCGTGGGTTGGCTAGGGAGGGATTCCCAGAGGAGGGGCCTTGAACTCCAGCACTGAAAAATGAGGTAAGAGGAAGGTATTGTCAGGTGGAGGTGACAGCGTGGGACATCTGGGGACGGTGCTGGTATGTGAAGTGCTGGTTAGAGATGCAGTCTTGGAAGCCCAGGGCTACGTAGCCCTGTGAATTAAGAAGCGGTGGTCCTGGGGAGCCAGTGAAAACCTTGGGGAGCACAACCAGGCTTGCATACTAGTTGGGAGTATTTTTTAAATTAATTTTGAGACAATGTTTTACTATGTACCTCTGGCTGCCCTAGAACTCATTATTATACCAGGATGGCCTCCAACTCACAAAAATTCACCTACCTCTGCCTCCTGAGTGCTGGGATGAAAGGCATGAGCCACCATGGCCAGTATTCTTTTCTTTTTTTAAAATAAAATTTTATTGTCATGAATTCCCAAATAAAAAACAACATGTAGGGAGATTAGTCAGACCCAAGGTGTACATATCTTAATGAATAGTTGGAATAGCCATTCTGAAGCCATAGTGTCACATTTGATTTTGTACTTTCACTATTAATTTTATTATTACTATTATTAGTTTTTGTTTGTTTGTTTTGTTTTGTTTTGTTTTGTTTTTGAGACAGGGTTTCTCTGTGTAATGACCCTTGGCTGTCCTGGACTCAGTTATAAACTAGGCTGACCTTGAACTCACAGAGATCTTCCTGCCTCTGCCTCCTAGAGTGCTGGGATTAAAGGCGTGCACCACTGTGCCCAGCTATTAATTATATTTTTATGCACTTATTCACCACACACACAAAAAAAACAACAACAAAAAACCTGACAAATGCAAGACAGAGTTAAAGTCTGGAAAGCAATTTGCTTTACATCCTTTTTCTCATCGCACATACGCATAGATACACACATATAGACAGTGATCTATACACACACACAAACACACACATGCAAATACACATGGAAGTACAGTATAATATGTAGGAAAAGGAATAAGAAACGGTACTTATTAGGTGACGAGGAGGGACAGAATGCAGGTAAAAGACCCACGAGGAGAGCTGGGTCTTTGGACAGGAGATGCTGCAGATTTTGACCTTCAGGCATGCTCCTCAGCCGTTCACCTGCCCCCCTGCTCTCCACAAAGTCCATTTCCTTCACGACCTGGGAATCCTGAATCGCTGTTCTTTCCAGCATCCACCGCCACGCCCTACCTCTATCGCTGGACTGCTCCCTTGATGGAATTGCCACCTCTCCTGAAAGCATCTCACTGGCCCCTATCCTTCCTTGCTCTCTTCTCAGCCCAACTCATTTTGTTCTTTCCCCGGGCTTCACCACAAGCGTCTTTTAGGGATGTGTGTGAACTGAAATATCTTCCTTTTATCTTGTCTGGTCTGCACCCCATGGGGCAGCACGAAGGCTACTATTTATTCTTTCACACATTAATTTTAAGATGCTTTAATTGCCGCTATGATATGTTTTATATAATATAATTAATGTTTTAATTCTGTGTGCTGGCTTCCCCCAGGCAGTTTTGTGAAGGGCCCAATTTTGGAATCAAGCAAATAAGTAAAAAGCAATAGCTGAAGTTATCTAGTAACGCTCCTCACCTCCAAGAATGAAAACCAGGCTTGTTTTCCAAAGGGGATGAAAATGGGAAAAGATGGCTTCATTTTCTCTTCATCCTGCATGTCTTTGGGTGGCTTTACTGGAGAGTTCTGGGTCCTGATTTGAGTGTTTCTGGTCTTTTTGTATGTGTCCGTCATCCTTTCTACCCAGGAGGCCACTGTAGCTTGGGCTCAGAATTGAGAACAGCATAGTCTCATCCCTTTGCCATCTTCTTTGTGACGGAAGCTGTTCCTGGGGTGAGAATTGACAACCTACTCACATATTTGCTTTGAGCCTCTGAGTTAGGACAGTGGCAGAGGTGACAGAAAACAGGATGGATTCCAGAGGGAGAACACAGACAATGTAGTAGGACCTGATCTCCAGCCATTCAACTGGCCCCATGCTCCTCACAAAGGCAGCTTCTTCTGGGACTCCTAGATCTGGAGTGAAGATAAAGGAAGCTGTTATTGTGACTCTGTAGCAAAGGCCTGGTGGTGGTTTGGTTAAGAGTGAAACTCAGGCTCAAATGTTTGAGTGCTTGCTCCCAGTGAGTGGCACTGTTTTGGAAGATAAGCGGGTGTGGCCTTATTGGAAGAGGTGTATCACTAGGAGTGGGCTTTGAGGGTTCAAAAGCCCATGCCAGGCCCAGTCTCCCTCCACCCCCTCTTGCTGCCTATGAATCAGGATGTAAAGTTCTCCAGTGCCATGATTGTCTGTCTGCTTCCCACCATGATGATCATGGACTAACCCTATAAAACTGTAAGCAAGCCCCCAACTAAACGCCTTCTTTGTAAGAATTGCTTTGGTCAGGGCTGGAGAGATGGCTCAGTGGTTGAGAGCACTGTCTGCTCTTCCAGAGGTCCTGAGTTCAATTCCCAGCAACCACATGGTGGCTCACAACCATCTATAATGAGATCTGGTGCCCTCTTCTGATGTGAAAACATACATGTAGAGATATTGTATACATAATAAATAAATAATTTTTAAAAAGTATTGCTTTGGTCTCTTTACAGTAATAGAATAGCAAGTAAGGCAGGCCCCATGGCTGGGGTTAATGTAGCAAGTTTCTCTCCTCATCTTCCTTTTTCTTTGCAGCCTGGTCTCTCAGCACGGTTTGGGTGTTCAGAGTTTGGAGAATCAGCATTCTAAGCACCATCTAGTTCAAGTTCTGGGGAGGGACTGAGATGGGGGAATTGCAGCCCAAATGAACTCACTGCATCAGGCCCAGAGCTTGGACTAGAACCCAGGCCACCCTGCCTGCAGAGCAGATGTTAGCCCTAGTTCAAAACTGGTAGTGGTAGTGTAGGGTGTGGGGAACATTGCTTGTGAAGACTGACAACCTAAGGTTGATACAGAATTCCACAAGGTGGAAGGGAGAGCAAGAAGAAGAAGGAGAAGGAGGAGGAGAAGGAGGAGGAGGAGGAGGAGGAGAAGGAGGAGAAAGAGAAAGAGGAAGAGGAGAAGGAGGAGAAAGAGAAAGAGGAAGAGGAGGGAGAGAAAACATGAATGATGAATAGTGGGTGGTACCAGGGAGAAGGCGCCCAGGGTAAAGTGCCATGAGGACCAGAGTTAAGAACCTTGCTCCGGATGAAAGTTAATGGAGTAGGGAGTTCTCTAGTCTAACATTTCCCAAGGGGGCCTGTGTTCCTACAAAAGGCCGGTCCACAGAGTAAAAGCCTGTCTCCAGATCAGAATGGAGCTGAGATGGGTAGAAGCCGGTGGAGACACATGGGTGGCATGCACACGTGAGAGGATGGGATGCTGTCCCCACACGTGGGGAATTTCCTTCTCAAGAAAGAGAAACTGAGTAGGGAACTCATTTCCTTGAATTGCCTCCTGGTTCTCCAAATGGTCTTTCCCGTTTTCTGGGTTTGCAGTAATGCTGGGGACTTCCTTAGACCTCTCTGTCCTCCCTGGGGACTCTTTCGGTTCTGCAAAGATTCCCGGGGGTATTGCAGGAAGCATGAGTGCCCTGTGGCGCTCCCCAGCCCCAACAGGAATCCTCCCCTCCGCTCCCTTGCAAACAGGAAGAAGGTCCTTAGCTCTGCTATATGTTTTTGGGGTCCTGGAGATGTAGAGAAAGACCTCCCGTTGGACCATGCATTCTCCCGCCACCTTCGTGCCTGTCCCTTAAAATTTTGGGGTAAATCAGACTCCAGGGAAGGTCCTGGGGAAATCCCTGCTCAGCAACTAGCCAAAGGCCCTCCGTGATTGGTACCCGGACATCCCGCCCCTTTCCTGGGCGGGGCTTCTGGCAGGGACTTCGGAGTTACTGAGGCCTCCCTCGAAGCCCTGCGATCTAGCCGCTCAGACCTCGCCCCGCAATGGTGCCTTTGCCTCAGCAGTGCGCGCTCTGGAGCTGCTTGCTGACATTGGTGAGTGGCTTCTGTCCTGATCCCGAGAGGGTTAGGGATTTGAGAGTGGGAGATGGAAAGACTTCGGGGATGAGATCTTCCCAGCTGATCTGGGGAAGGCGGGAAGGGGTGAGTGGGATGGGCACTGGTCTTGACTAAAATTGAGGTGGGCTGCCTCCTTCTCCTTCCGAGAGGCGGGGGTTCTGTTCTCCCTCGTAGTCCACAGAGGGAGCTTAGGGAAAATATCCCTACACGGTGCCTGGACAGCTTTATCCGATTCAAGTTTGGGCTCAGGAGCTGGCCACAGAGACTGGGAAGGGTTAGTAGACAGGAAAGTAGCCTGACTAGGGGAAGGGGCGGGTCGGGCCTGTTTCCTGTCACTCTCCCATTGTGGACAGCCGTTTGCTACCACTGGGTACCTTCTTGCTGCTTGGGGCCACGTTCGTCCAGGGCATCTTGTGGGTAAGAGGTCCTGGGTTGGTTTTTTGTTTTTTGTTTTTTGTTTTTTTTTGACGAGAGGTAATTTGATACCCACCGTACCCCTGTCACAGCCAAGCCAATCTAGGAGAAATCCCCAAGTTTGTGCCTCTGCCGCTTGAACTTAAGATAGCACAGGAGACACCTGGAGGTGACAAATAGCCATGGAACCCAAGAAAGGGTGAAGGGACCAGACTAGATTTCTCCAGACACCACAAGGGCTCAGACCCAACCAAGCACATCTCGGGGGTTTTCAGACGCCGGCCCTTGATTCACTTTTGGTTTAAATGTATTTCTGCAGTTCCTCATTCTGGAGGCTGGGAATCCCCTGGCTACCTGGATCCCATCGCACTCCCCTGGCTGGGCTTCCCTTGCTTTCAAGCACTGTAGATTATTTTTGGTTGGTGACAGGGACTTGGGTATTTCAGCCGGCTTTGAATCGCCTATGCGGGCAGGTGTCCTGTTACGGACCTGGCTTTCTGCAGCTGGGACAGTTACTGCCCTGTCAATCATCAGCTCTCACCTAGCCCAGGCTGGCCTCAAACTCACAATGTAGTTGAGGATGACTCTTAATCTGCCTCTTTTTTTTTTTTTCCTGTTTTTTTTTGTGTGTGTGCATGCATGGTTTGCATACATGTACGCATTTGTGTGGGTACACGTGTGCGCTTGCACGTGGTGGCCTGAAGTTGATACCATGAGTCATTCCTGGACACTCTCCCACCATGCTAATCAAGGCAGGGTCTCAACGAAACCCAGAGCTCCCCACATGGCACGTTTCGTTATACAGCTTGCTCTGGGGAGCCCCTGTCTCTGCTTTCCGAGGCTGGGATTGCAGGGGCGCTCACTACAAAGACCTATTTACATGTGTTTCTGGAGATCCAAACTCCGGCCCACACGTTTATGTGGCAAGCACCTTAATAATAGCTGAGCCATCTCTCCTGTCCTTGACTTTCTAATCCTCCTGCCTCCAACCTTCTAGTGCTGGGACTAAAGGCATGCACCACCATGCCCGATTTCATGTGGCACTTAGAACGGAACCTAGAGCTTCAGGCATGCTGGGAAGTCACTGTGACAACAGAGCTGCAACCCCAGCCAAGGAGTGTAGACTCCAACACGTGGCCTGGCAAGAGTAACTGTAGAGGTCAGCCGCAGGAGAGGAGAGCAAGGGAGGCGGGTGCTTTACAAACTTTAATCTTCACCCTAAACCAGTGGTTCTCAACCTGTGGGTTGTAACCTCTTGGGGTGGGGGTTGTTGTTAAACAACCCTTTCACAGGAGTCATCTAAGAGCATGAGAAAACATAGATTTATGTAGCGATGAAAAAATTTTATAGTTGGGGGTCTCCACAACAGGAGGAACTGTAAAGGGTGGCAGTTTTAGGACGGTTGAGAAGCACTGATCTAAGCGACAGCCTTTAGGGAGACGGGATGCAGGAAGAGGGTGGATCGGGAGAGAGGTGCATGAGGGCCTTTCAGAAGGAATGGAGGAAGAAACAGAGGCACGATGAAGGGTAGTCTAGACCACCAAAGTCTGACCTTGAAAGTCACAATCTGGGCTCCAGGTAGGGGCTTGGCCCTGACAGAAATAGCAGGAGCTTTTTATTAAGGTCTTCCTGTGCATGGGCCTGTGAGCGAGACTGCGTGTGGCCTTCATTTGATTTCTCCTGACTCCTCTGATACACAGGTGACCAAAAATGAGGCCCAGAAAGGGGAAGAGTTTTGCCCAAAGTCTCTCAACATGGATCTGAATCTCTATCTGCCAGACTTCTGAGTCCACCACGCACATGGCAAGGGGTCTCCAAGCTATGGCCCTAAGACCTTTTGTGGAGGAAGGACCAGCCCTTTGGGGAATGAAAACTGGGGCTGACAAGCCACCAGAGGGAAGGTGTCTTTTTCAACCGCTCACAGATGCCTTCCAGGACTGTTCAGTGCTCTAGGAGAAGGGTGGGAAGTCCGAGGAGGTGCTGTCCCGCAATGACGCACTGCTGGGCACAGGAACTCCCTGTGCCCAGATGCACAGATGCATTTCAGTAAGTGAGAGCCAGGCTAAATGAGAGCTCTCAATTTCCTGGATCCTGGACAGCCAGACAGTTGCCAGAGCGCAGACACCCAGCAGACCCTCATCTGTGTGAGCTGATTAAAGTTGCTCAGAGATTGGTGGATTTTCATGCTCAAGGACTGGTGGGTTTTCCTAGGATTTCAAACCTGGAAGTGGGCTCAGACCTTTTACTCTACAATTTCATTCTTCTTCTTGGTTTTGGTCTTGTTCTTGCTCTTTATCTTCGTCCTCCTCCTTCTCCTCTTCTTTTAATATTATTTATATTCATTTCATATGAATTGGTGTTTGGCCTGCATGTATGTCTGTGTGAAGGTATCAGATCCCTGGATCTGGAGTTATAGACAATTGTGAGCTGCCACTTGGGTGCTGAGAATTGAACTTGGATCCTCTGGAAGAACAGCCAATGCTCTTAACCATTGAGCAATTTCTCCAGCCTCTACCAATCCTTTTCTTTTTCATTTTTAAAATCACATTATTTATTTATTTGTTTGTTTGTTTGTTTATGTGTGTGTACATTTATCATGCACACATATACACACAAACACAGAGATCAAAGAACAACTTTTGAGAGGTTTTGTTGTTGTTTTTTTCTCCTCCTTCTACCATGTGGGTTCTGGAGATTGGTCATCAGGCTTGGCCGCAAGAACCTTGACTGCCTCAGTCATCTTGTTGCCCTGTCCGTATTTTTCAAGGAGTAAGTCTCTGGAGCTTGATCATAATCAGTGCTTTTTGTTGTTGTTTGTTTGTTTTTGAGACAGGGTTTCTCTCCGTAGCTTTGGCTGTCTTGGAACTTGCTGTGTAGATCAGGCTGGCCTCGAACTAACAGATTTGCCTGTCTCTGCCTCCTGAGTGCTGGGATTAAGGATGTGTGCCACCACGATTGTCTAGTTAATGCCTGTCAATGACTTGTTAATGCCCCTTTTCAAACTAAAATCAAGAGCAGGCAGAGTGGAGGCTTTTAGCAAGTAAAGCTACGAGTTGAGGCTTAATCACCCTGTCATGAATCTGTTGGGTGTATTTTTAGGGTTTCTTTTAATTTATAGGAAGTGATACTGGCTATTCTCTTGAGGCAACCATAGAGGATTTACAGTTAAGAGAAGAGTGTTTAAATTAGCAAGAAGCAGTTTGTAGCATGGGTGGTACCAGGATGTTGTAGAAGCCGGGAGAGTGAGACACAGTTAATGGAGAACAGGATGTGTTGAGAGCTTTGAGTTCTGTCCCCTGGGGACCCTGAGCAAGCCTCTCAGCCTCCCTGCTGCTCAGCGTCAGCCTCTTGTCCTTCTGGCACTCGGTGATAGGGAGCTGGGGTCCGGAACCATGAGAAGGACTGAGGCCAGCTCAGCCAGCAGTCTTGGGCCTCTGGGGAAGTGCTGGTGTTCTCCCTTTCCTGCTGGGCCTTTGGAGCCCTGAGGAGCCAAGTGGATCCATTCGGGTTAGAGAGTTCTTAATTTTTGTTTCGTGAGATGGCAGGAAGACTGTCTAGGTGCTTTTTATAACCCCGTGGCCGTAGAGTAAAAAGCAAATAGGCCCCATTCTGTGGTGGCTCTCCTTTCTGCTTTGGATCTCCACATCTGCTACAGCCTGTGTCTTGCCTAACTTCCAACATGACTGTCAAAGATCCCTTCTGGTTACACACTTCTGTTTTTAGGTCCACCTAGGACAATGCATCACATGCAGTGACAGACAGTACCTTTCCGATGGCCGCTGTTGCGATTTGTGTAAGCCAGGTGAGAGGTTAGCCCTCCCCTCTTGGTTTGCTGACAGATGCAGGCCCCATATGTGAACTCAAGTCTGTGAACTCAAATCAGAAATGACCCATTTCCCCCCTCTTCCTTGATGCCAGACTGCCCCAGGCTGTCCTGTCTCTTCCATCTTGCCCCCTCATGTCGGGTCTGAAAGGCCCATTCTGAAGCTCCAGTGCCCCAGCCCCCAGCTCACAGGGTTGTGACACAAATTGAGTCATGGGATTGGCCTGGTCTGCCTCATTTCGTCCTGTTTTTCAGGGACGAGAGTGGAGAACGACTGCACAGATCTTGAGGCGACCACATGCGTCCCGTGCAGCTCAGGCGAATTCTCAGCCAGCTGGAACAGAGAGCTGCGCTGTCACCAGCACAGACACTGTGAACTCAGTGCGTGGGAGCTGCTTGGGGAGGGCCATTTGGGAACTGGGATGGTGTTCCTACCGCTGAAATCCCTCAGGTTTTAGTAGCTGGGGTCTGTCCTGGTGAGTTGGAGTCTGGGTTGAATTATCTGCACCAGGAAGTTAATTGATCATCATCTGCACTAGGAAGAGAGTCTCAGGAAAACAGCAGATGACAGGAGGAGGAGGGCTCTCGGTGCGGTCCGTCGGGTTTTCCCATTCTTCCTTCCCATCTCTACTCAGATCAAGGGTTTCGGGTTAAGAAGGAGGGCACGTCAGATACAGACACCGTTTGCACCTGTAAGGAAGGTCAGCACTGCACCAACTGGGACTGTGAGGCCTGTGCACAGCACACGCCCTGTGGACCTGGCTTTGGAGTTGAGGAGATCGGTAAGTAGCCTGCCTTGGGAAACAGCTCTGTGGGTGGGAGAGAAGAGCTGGGGTCCTCGCTCCCACTGGGGTTGGCCTCTTCCCTCCAGTTAACAGGAAATGGGATCTTTTCAATTCTGGCCTTGGCTATGGGCAACCTCCTGGGAAGGGGGGGGTACTCCTGCCGGGCCGCGGCCTTGGTGGTGGTGGGGCTGTCACCAGGTGGGGCCAGGAGCTGAAAGCAGGTGCTCTTTCCTGCCCTGCTTGTCTGCCGGCTCCCCTGGGAGGCAGACACTGTGGCCGCTGTGATCGCTGACGTACCCTCCACATGCTCCCAGCCACAGAGACTACGGATACTGTGTGTAAGCCCTGCCCGGTCGGCTTCTTCTCCAATGCGTCATCGCTTTTCGAAGAGTGTCATCCTTGGACAAGGTATAAGGTTTGCCTCTTCCAAGCCAATGGTCCTGGGGGGGGTGTCCTGTCTCAGTGTCCTTAGCCACCTGCTGCTCCTCCATGGCCATCCTCACTCATTTGTGAATGTGACCCTGTGGCTGGCCTAAGGAACCCTTTCTGCCTTTTTTTCTCGTCTGCCCTTGCTTAGTTAGTAGAGTCTGTCCAGCTCCATATCTTCTTGAGGTATCGTGACACCTCTTTCTCCCCTTTTCTGTTTACTTTCTGTGTGTGTGTGTGTGTGTGGTGTGTGTGTGTGTGGTGTGTGTGTGTGTGTGTGTGTGTGTGTGTGTGTGTGTGTGTGTGATATCAACTTGGTGTGCTGGCCCTCAGGTATTGTCGATCTTTTGTTGTTGTTGACAGTCTCTCACTGGCCTGGAACTTGTCAATTAGATGAGGCTGCCTGGCCGGAGACTTCCAGCACAGGGGTTACAACCACATGCCACCAAACCTGGATTTTTTTTTTTTAATGTAGGTTCTAGAGATTGAACTCAGGCCCTCAGGCTTACAGGGAAAGTGCTTCCCTGATGGAATTATCTATCTCCACCGCCTCTCTTGACTCTTAATTGCGTTCATTGGGCTTTTGTCTGGGTTCTCTTCTCCAATCACTTTTCCGATATCTGCTGGGCTCCATCTTCCCCTGGATCTGTCCTTTGGTCCCCCAGATGGTCAAGTTCCATGGCTGAATGTAGTGGTTCACCAACACGTAAAGGCGTACATCCAGAATAGGGCCCTAGCCGAGGCCTGAGCCCCAAGTGACAGGCCGTTACATAGTGAGCTGCCCACCTTTGCCTTCACCTCCGCTTCAGTCAGGCCTGTGCCTCTGGTCCGAGTGTCTTGGGAATCCACCTTCTTACTCTCCAGAGTGGTCACTTGAATTCGGCCTCATCATTGTGGTGAAGGACTCATCTCCTCGTAGGCCCCCTGCCTCTGGTGTCTCTCTTGGCAGCTCCTGCACCCTATTGCCATTCTGAGCTTCCGTAGCCTCTTTTGGATCACCACGCTTCATGATTTAAAGCCCACCACAGCTCTCTGCTACCTTTGGGAGGAAGCCCAGATTCCTTGGTAGGGGGCTGGGCCTTCCAGCTGTGTTTCCCCCTCCTCCCTCACACCCTGCACTCGAACCCTGAGTGCACTGTTTATTCTTCAAAGGATCCTGCCTGGCAGAACCCTTAAACACATGCTCCATTAATTTTTTACATTTAATGTTTCTTTTTTAAAATGAGCAAACCCCTCCCCTCAGGATATTTCCTCAGGACCCTTCCCAGAGATTCTTCTAAGAAACAAGCGAACAAACACGTTGGCACAGCCACTCACCCCCACCCTCGGCCCCACCCCTGCCCAGTGACATTTTATACACGTTGTGGCTGACCATCTACACTTTGTTTATTGCTCACTTTCCCCAAAGGCTAGCAGCTTCTTAAGTGGAGAATGGCAGGCTCCCCCTCCCTTCTGTGTTTGGAATAGTGCCTGCTGCTGCCAGGCACAGGGCATCCTCTGCTGGTGGGTATTAGCTAATCATAGAAGTTCCTGTGTGCAGAGAGGTCACTGTGCACACACCACACTCCCCTCTTAGCCGCTATGTGCTGCTGTTTTGACTTTTGTACCTTCTGGGGGGCCCTTCTGATCTTCCTTTGGGGACCCCCCCAATCTGCCTCAGTACGTGTGGGACCCTTAGCTTCTCATTGGGAACTGGGATGCCCCTACTCTCAGGAGGCTTCAGATGAAGGTCTGTGAAGGTGTTGAGAGCTTTTCCTCACACACGCTTTCTCTGAAGCCTCTCCTTCATCACCTTCGCCACATCCCTCTGCCCACTCTCCTGGGGACCATCCATCCCACATCTCCCATGTCCACTCCTGTCCTGCCTCTGCCCGGCCACTCCTCTGCAGAGCTCTTCTGTGAGCATCTGGCTGGGTGCCAAGGACACGCTCCAGCACGCTACCACAGGTGTCACCCACCCGACCTCCCTCCTGTCACACGAGTCCTTCTTAGACAGCTCCAGCTTTCACATCCTTCAATGCCTTCTGATCTCCCTTTCACGGAGAAATCTTCCCAGAAGACCCTTAAACCAGAGCTTCTTAGCAGGCACATTTTGTTCTCTGGGGGACACTGGCCACACCAGATGCCATCATTGGTCAGGGGTCTGTTTCTGGCCTTTAGCTGGTGGAAGCTGAGGTGCTGTTAAGTATTCTGTGAAACTTAGGACATTTCCCAGCACAAAATACCTGCAGGTGCCAAGGTTGAGAAGCTCCACCTTAGACCAAACTCATCCCCTCCCACTCCTCCTGCCTTGAGGGTTCTGCCTCTGAAACAATGCCCTCTCTGTTTTAGCCCATATCATAAAACTCGTATCATCCAGACCCCTGCTTATCCCCCCTTCAATATGGCAGCAACCTTTCTTTTCGCTTGTGAGTTCCCTTCCTTCCTCGACCACTGGGGTTGCTGTGCTAGAAGCCACAGGCTAGGTGAGCATGGACTCGCTGCTTCCTGGCTGACTTCCTGGGCTTGGAAGTCTTATGGTTTGGGGACCCTGTTTCTAGCTCTCTTTTCCTCCCTCTCTCCCCCTCCCTTCCTCCCTCCCTCTCTCCCTCCCTCCCTTTCTCCTTCCTTCCTTCCCTTCTTCCCTCCCTCCTTCCCACCCTCCCTTCCTTCCTTCCCTTCTTCCCACCCTTCCTTCCTTCTGCTCTGCTTGTGTGTGTGCACACACATACACGTGTGGATATGTATCTTTGTGCAGCTGTGAGGCCAAAGGGCTGATGGTTCTGAGGGAAGGATCGAGTCAAACTGATGCGTTCTGTGGTGAGTCCAGGGGAGACCAGGACCGGGTCCAAATACCGAGTAAGTATTCGGGAGGCAGGGAACTGAGGGGAGAGACGAGCCACCCAGGGACACTGGAGTAAGGAGTGAGAGCAGGAGGCAGTTCGGGGTGTAGTACCTTAGCTCCCCTGTCTGAGCCTCAGTTTCTCCAACCGTGAAGTGAGCGGCAGCTCCTCCCTCACTCCCATGGTGTAGCACCTGGCATGGCATTCTGCTGTTTGGAAACTGTGAGTGAGGCTCTGCTGCCCCTCGCTGTCGCCTGTGGGCCTCCATTTAGATGTTAGAATGAGTGAAGAAAGAGAGGGCTAAGAAAGCTAGGTCTGGCAAGTGGGCCTGTCAGCACGGCTACTTAGAAAGCTGAGGCAAGGGCTTTGCAAGCTCAAGGCCAGCCTGGGCAGGTTAGGGAGACCCTGTAGAGAGAGGGCTGCTGAGACGGCTCAGTGAGGTAAGCTCGCCGTGCTCCATCCCCAGAGGCCATGTAAAGGTGGAAGGAGAAAACCAGCTCCTAAAACTTGTCCTCTCACCTCAGCGTGTACACTGTGGCACGTGTGCGTGCGCACACACAACAGTAATAAATAACAATTTAAAACCTTTTCTAGGGCTGGAGGGGTGGCGCTTGCTGTTCTTGCTGAGGATCTGGGTTCGGTTCCCAGCACCCACACCAGGCAGCTCACAACTGTCCACAACCCTAGCTCCAGGGGATCCGCTACCTCTGCTGGCACTGGGCACACACATGGCGCCCGTACATACACCTTGGCGCGCTCAGACATACATAAAATAAAAACAGACATAAATTTTAAAACTTACCTTAAAAAACAAAAAAGAAAACCAAGAAGAGAGCTGGGCCTGGGGATCAGTGGTGGAGCGCTTGTCCAGCAGGTGTGAGGGCCTGGGTTAGATTCCCAGTGTCACAGAGGGAAAGGAAAACTAAAAGCGCTGTCTCTTTTCTCAAGATTGGCTTTTTTTTTTTTTTTTTAAAGTTGTGACTGGAATGGAGTGAGAAAAATCATGTGAGCTCATACGTAACATTTAACAAAAATATCGCAAAGCGACAGTAAGCAAGAGAAGATAACGTTTGATATCATAGAAAAAAAAACAAATGCAAAAAAACACAATACCTGTGATGAACAAAATGGCAAATTTTAAAATAAAACGGGACCTGGCCTTGCCAGATGCATGGCCCTGCCTGCCTTACTTCTTCCTAATCTTGGCCCTAGCTCCAGTACAAGTTTATTTAAGAGGCAGGTAGCCACTTACGGGCCAGTGTTTGCTCCACTAGTTTCTGCCTCCTGACCTATGCCAGGTGTGGTGGTCCAGGCCTGCAGTCCCAGCACTCAGGAGGCTGAGGCATGAGAACCCCAAGTTCAAGACTAGCCTGAGCCACTTAATGAAACCCTGTCTCAAAGAGGACCTGCCTCGATGACTGAGGGTTTGTGTGTGTGTCCCCTTAATTTTTGTGGGAAAGTGGCTGCACCTCTGGCCTCTGAGACCACCTGCCTTTTGGTCTTATTGTTTGTCACGTAGAATAGCAATGAAGACACAAGAGATGCTTCGGCTCTCTCCTCCACACTTCCACAGAGACGTGGCAGCGCAGGCACGAGAGCTGAACAGCTGAAGCCTAGGGCAGAGAGCAGGGAGTGTGAGAAGCAGGCAGGCGGGCAGGCCGTCCCTCCACCACAGAAGTTGGCTCACAGGGATCCCCCAGTCATCACAACTGGAATCAACCCTTAGAGAGGCAACTCAAAGGATAGGAGTGTTTGTTGTGCAAACATGAGCTAGGCACAGCCACAGGTGACAGTGGCCCCAGTATTATGGGGGCCGGAGAAGAATGATGGCAGCTTGCTGTCTGCCAGGCTAGCTCCAGGCTCAGGGAGAGACTATGTCTCCATAGAGGGTGAAATATGATGGAGCAGGACACCCACGCCCTCCTCTGGCCTCTGAATGTATGCCGCCTGTACATATACCAACATACATCATCCCCCCCGACCCAAGATGGAGTCTCCCAAGTTATAAAGATTGGCAAATACCACCAAGCACTTTAAAAGGTCCCTAATGACCACATTACCCACAATGCTACTGCTCAAAAGCTGTGATATCAGGAGGCCCAAATTCTGGAGGATGCAGCTGCTTTGGGCAAGGGCTGGGAGCACTTGCCTGTGGGCATACAACAAGTGGGGTCCACTCAAGCCTGTCTCTCCAGGTTTCCAGTTCCGGGAGCGAGCCTTTCTGGTCATTCCCATCGTGATGGCCACCCTCATCCTCGGCACCATCTTTGTGTTGTCTGTCTATATCAGTGAGTGCTGGGGTGGGGGAAGGGAGGGAGGACCCTGCACTGCAGAAGCAGCCAGGGACTGAGTGACCGATCCTGACCCGCCCCCCCAACGCCCCACCCCTTCTTTTTCTCTCTAGAAAAGGTGGCCAAGAAACCAACGGATAATAGGGTAAGCCAGCCCTGAGGGAGAGAAGCTGGAAAGAGTGAGTGGTGGGCAGGGAGGGAGGGAGGCTCGTGGCATAGGGAGGTGGACGGAGACTCACAGGCACAGGAACCTGAGTTTGGATCCAAAACTCCTGAAAAACAAAATAAAACAAACAAAGAAGCCTGTAACAGCAGCGCTGGCGGGGGGGAGTGGACACGCTGATTTTTGGAGCTTGCTAGTCAGCCAGTGTAGCCGACATGGGGCACTCCAGGTTCCAAGAGAAACCCTGACTCAGAGCGCGAGGGCTGAGAGCGATAGAGCACACCTGGTGTCGATCTCTGGCTTCCCATAGTGCAGATGTGTGTGTGTGCGGGCCCTTACCCTGTGCACACACACCCAACGCCACACTCCACCTATGCGCACACACACACACACACACACACACACACACACACACACACACGTACATACAAACACACACATACAGATACACACACACACACACACACACACACACACACACACACACGAGGAAAACAGGCTCAGGGTCTGTCCTTGGAGACGGTAGGGTGAGAAGTGGGCTCCTCTCACCCCCCCGCAGCCCAGCATCAGTCTTCATCCCTCCCTCCTACCTACTCACTTCTCCTCCTCGCTGGCTGTGCTTTTCCTCTGGCTTTGAACGTGGACAAGTCCCCCTTCAGGGGCCAGTAGGTGGAAGCAGAGGGCAGCTTCTCCTTCCGCTGGCTGGCTCTGGCTCTGGAAGTTTCCTGCTAAATTTCACGTGTCCAGCAGGGGGCAGGAGGCACCGAAGAAATCAGCTTTGCTACCCCGCCCCCTTACCCCCACCCCTACCCCAGTGGAAGGGACTCGGAGGAGGGATCCTAACTTCTCAGGGGCAGGATGGCTCTGTGGCTAGGGGCTGACCTTGGATCTCATACTTTGGTTCTCCAGGACATACCCCTTGAAGTTGGAGGGCAAATTCCCGAAGAGATAGAGGATTATCCTGGTCACAACACTGCTCCTCCGGTGCAGGAAACATTGCATGGGTGTCAGCCTGTCGCGCAGGAGGATGGCAAAGAGAGTCGCATCTCAGTGCAGGAGAGGCAGGCCACGTGGGCATGAGACGGCTGGTCTGGAGCCGCTGCGGAGGCGGTGGCACGAGGCAAGGACCTGGCTCTGATGACTGCTGACCTCTGAGGCTGGCGAGGATCAAAGACACAGCCCAGTGCAGCCGGCTCTCATGCCTGCTGCTGTCATCTCATCTCTCGGCTTGCTTTTAAAGATGGAGGAAAGCGTGGGCATCGGGGGTCCACTGTAATACCGGCAGGGTGCAGCGATGCAGGGCCCAGAGGCGTATCACTGTGGCTCTCACTGTGAGGAGTCATGGACGCGGGAGTCCATGGCTTGTGGCTTGGGCTGCTAGAAAACACCTGATTGCCATCAGTGGGGGACTGGCTAAATAAATCTGTAATATATTTGTACAACAGGCTCTCAGAAATACTAGCAGGTGGGATGAAAGACAGAGAGTGGAACAATGGGTAGAGAAACTGCTTTAAAAGACACATACCAAGGCAGATAAGATGGCTTTTGTGGGTAGAGGAGCGTGCTGCCAAAGCCTGGTTACCTGATTTTGATCCCTGGGGCTACATGGAAAAACCAGAGAACCAAATCCGGAGGGTTGTCATTTGACCTCCACGTGTGCTCTGTGGTATGTGTACATGTGTGTGTGCAAGTATGTGCATGGTTATACACATAGCCCAAGATGGATGTGGTGGTCCATGCCCAGAACCCCAACACTCAGGAGGAGGAGGCAGGAGGAGCAGGAGTTCAAGGACGGCCTTGGCTATATAGCGACTCAAGGTCAGTCTTGACTACATGGTACTGTCTCAGAAAACAAACATTAAAGAGGAGCAGCTCCCAACAACCAAAACCAAGGTCCCCACTTCCCCTTCAAACAATGTTTATACATTATATGACAGTGTGTAAGCAGGCTGCAGATTATATTTGAATACAACAGATAGATAGATAGATAGATAGATAGATAGATAGATAGATAGGTAGATATGGAAGGAAAACTGTGATACTGTGAATAGTTGCGTGGGGTAAAACAAACACTCCAGATAAAGCATCAAAAATCCCCGAAAGAATGGTCATAAAAGATGGCCTAGAATGGTCTAGAAAGATGGGTCAGAGGTTAAGAACAACAGCTCCTGCAAAGGGTCCTGGTTCGGTTTCCAGCACCCACATGGTGGCTCACAGTCATCCAATTTCAAGGCATCCGACACCCTCTGCTGACGTCTATGGGCACTGCACAGATGTGATCCGCATGCCACACAGGCAGAACACTTGTTTGCACACATCATATAAATGAACTAATTTTAAAAAAGTGATATGGTTTGGAGTGGGGGCGGCAGTGTTGGATTTCCCATAATGCTTCATTTTTTTTTCCAAGAGAACAGTAGGTTCATATAACGCTTACATAATTAAAAAAAAAAAATCATCAAGACTCGTACAAAGGAGACCTAAGGGTAGGCATGCTGAGTGATGGGATTTTGAATTTGCTGTTAGGCTGGAAGAATTAGGGTATTTTCTGAGTTTAAGTATGAGTGTCCCCAGACTCCTGTGCCTCCAGGAAATTTTGCCTTGCCTTGTGCAGACACGCAAGGCTTCAGGTTCACAGAAGCCGTCTTCCAGGGCCGCAGGGTCTGTGTCCTTCCCCGTTTTGCAGGCGTGGAAGAGTGGCGTGCCAATGGTGACAGTTGTGTTCAGTGACACTCTTGGTTCCAAGCTGCTCCAAGATCTGTCTCTCTGCTTTCCAGAACCTAGCCATGGTGGAGAGCAGCTTTCAGGGAGATCCTGGGTCCCCTGCTGCCTTCTGACCTCGCCAATGCTTCCCAGTCAGATGGTGCCCTCTCCTGCCCCACGACAGCATCTCGGGATAAAAATAGACCATCCTGTTCCCTTTCCCTGCTGTGCCAACTGAGGGGGAGCCTAGCCAGGAGGAGCAGCAGATGGAGTGGGAGCAGAGGGGAGGGGAGGAAGGCTGGGGGACAAGGAGGAGCCATGCCAAGGAAGTGGCTTAGAGAGACTCCTGCACAGACTCCCCGATGAGGTTCAGCCCAGGGGTCTCAGACTGTTGTGGATCCCGCCCCGCCCCGCCCTGGAGGTCCCACCGATTGGAGGGTGGGGAGGGCAATGGCTGATCCTGACGGAGGTTGGGGACTGGGGGGTGGGCGGTGCAGCTGAAAGCCAAGCGAAGGACACCTGGCTTTGGCAGTCTTCCCAGAAGAGCTTCCAGGGCCATTTGGAGGCACCAGGTGGGAGCTTCGGTTTAGAAAGCAAATCTGAGTTTGTCAGAGGGGGAGGGGAACTTTAGGGGCATAATCCTCTTCCCCTGCTTAGAGCCCAAATACTGGTGACACTAGTTTCCACAGCAGGGTGCATATGTGGTGTGGTGTCTGGGATGTGTGTGTGTTGGATAGAGGCAAAATACCCATCTCCCACCTGTTATCCAAGTGATCTTGGGTGAGTCACCTGCCACCCCTTGGCTTCTCAGTCTCTTGGTCTGGAAGAGGGCAGCGGTCCCATCCTCATGGCAAGCACTGTTAGCGATGCTTGCTCCCAGACTCTCCTCCAGGTTAGAGGTTCTTGGAGCTGAAGGAACGCAGTGACCAACTGTGAGGTTTGCTGAGCGACAGATTGCTGGGCACTGCCTCCCTTGTTTCTGGCTCAGGTCTGGGACCAGGATCAAGAATTTGCATTTCTAGCAAGTTCCCCAGGTGGTCCTGATGCTGCTAGGTCAGAGAGCATGCTTTGAGAACAGCTGCCCTTGGCGGTCACATTGCTGAGTAGGCAGTGTGTTTCCTGTCAGCTTTGGGATCGATGCCTGGGGCTTCCCCTGTCCCGAATATTTGCCTGTTGTGGCTGCAGGCCAGGCTGGGGTTGGCTGGAAGGGTTAGCGCCCAGGAGCACATACTCTCAGTCCAGCTGAATTGAGAGAGGGTCTTATGTAGCCCAGGCCGGTCTAAAACTCACCATATAGTGGAGGATGGGCCTTGGACTTCTGACCTTCCAGTGCTGGGGTTACAAGCCTGTGACACCGCACCCAGTTCAATGCAGTTCTAGGGACTAAATCCAGGGCTTCATTCTCATCAGCTGAGCTGCATCCTGTCGCCGAGGGGTGTCTACACTGCTTCCCCAACTCCCTAGAATGATGGAGCCCCACATGCCCACAGCCAGCACATTGCCCTGCTGCTTTCTGTCGTTGCTTTCTAGGGTTCAGCTTGCACCCTGCCTCAACTCCCTGACATCCTGTCTGCCTCTCTTCTGTCTCTGGTCCGCTTCTGAGAGTTTCTTCTGAAAGTCTGCTGAGCCAAGCATAGGGAAGTAACTTTTGTATCTTTTAGCATCGCTACCAGAGGGAGCTCTGGTTCTAACGCAGCCTGGCCATGAGCTGTCTGTGATACCCAGAGTTTTTCTGCAACATGGACATCTGTCAGGAATCCCTGATGAATGACCAGCTCCCTGAGGGTTCTGCCCAGTCTGAATATTGTACTGTAGTCCCTTCACCGGCTGAGGGTCTACTCCTTTACTGGCAGGCGGAGGGATGGCTGTGAGACCGGCAATGGCCAGCAGGTGGCGGCAAGGTAATATCCTAAAGTCCTCGGTGGCTGCTTGGCGGTCCTGGAAGATGAAGGCTCTGCTTTGAGCTCACTCTTGCACAGGCTCATGCTTTGGAGATGAAGCCTATCTTCCTGCCTTGCTAACTTTCCAGTGCTGGTTAGAACTTGACTGCCCAGTGGGAGGGGTGCTCTCCTACTGTACCCATTTCATGGATGGGGCTTCGAGATCAAACAAGGCCTCCGATTAGAGCTGAGATCTGGATCTAAGTTCACTCCAGTCAAGACTGTGCTTGCCTGGGGCAGATGGGAGTCTAGAAAGAAGGAGGCCACCGGGGCCAGGATCCCTTCCCTGGGGCAGAGTCTACCGGCTCTTTCTAGTGCAGCTCAAGAGGAATGGGAGACCTGTGTGTTGTTTCCCAACACGCAAATGCAGCTAATTCCATAATTTAAAAGGTCTTGGCAATTGCCCAAGACCTCCTGATATGAAGGGTTTGCGATGGAAAGACCAGGAATCTCAATGTGTACAATCTTCTGGTCTGGAGCGTACGTGTGTACGTGTGTGTGTTCGAAGTTCTGATGGGAACCTGAGCCAGGTCAGGTAGATTGTTCTGAGCAAGCTGCCTCCATCCTCCGCCACCTTGGAGTCTTAGGCTTTATTGGTACGTTCCGACCTGGGCCCACAGCACTGCTGTAGCACTGCTGTAGGCTTTCGGGCAGCCTACCCAGGCACAATGTACTCTGAGGTGGACGTTCGCGAGGTGTACCCTCTTGAAGACTCGGCCTTTCGGGGAGTTCCTCGGGCCACAGAAGTTATTAGAGGCTGTGCCTGGGAGGATTGCTCTCCTCTGGGAGTCAGTCGGGCATAGAAAATTACAAACCCATCTGCAGGGGTGGGGAGACGTGGTTTTAATTTAAAAAGGAGGGCATCTTGCTGCAGTTAGGGGTGGGGAGGTAGTTCTTGAAGGAGGCTTTTCTGAGACTAGTGTGGTGAAATAGGGATTTTGCCCCGGGGCAGTGGGCTAGGGTCCAACTTTTCTTCCCACACTCTCTCTTTCTCTCTCCTTGCAGACTGGTGTGTCCTGCTGGGCCTTGGCACTCAGCTAGTTCCCTGCCTCCTCCTCACCCCAGGCCTCCCTCCCACTCCCTTCAGGGACCGGCTGGCCCTCTGCTCCATCCTTCCCACTTCCTGCCCACCTCCTTCATCCCCAGCTCCTCCGCCCCGCCCAGGTTCTCTTTGGAACAAGTGTTACTGTTTTGGTTAATTATAAAAGTCATGCTCCTTCATCACACCCCACCCAAGCAATAAACAGGACCAGGAAAACAAGGCCACCTGTGAGCCTCCCACCGTCCTGCCAATCATAAGGTAAGGCCCTTTCAGAATTGCTTTCTGTGCCACAAATAGTTTCTAAACTTGAGATATTATTATATGCACTGTTTTGTAAGCAGCCTTCTTTGCTTAGTGGGCTACACCAGACGTCTCTCCATGCCAGTAAATACATACATCCACAGCATGGTTTTAGTCGCTCCTGATTCCACTCACAGGGCAGGCTCCTGACTCATTAGGGAACCCCCATGTTGCCAGACTTTGAATCTCTGTGCTCTCTCTCTCTGGAGCCTACTGGATGTTTTCTCTCCCTCTCTTTCTCTCTCTTTCCCCTATTTTCCCTTTTCTTTCTGTCTATCTCCTTTACTCCTCTCCTGCCATCATCCCTGGCATCTCCTGGCCTATCTTTCCTTCAAGCTCTCTGCACCCTGCTGAGGGCTGAGGGGGTCGTCTGTGTTCAACACCCGCTCCCCTGTGTCAGGCGTGTGCCGTCTCATTAGCTAGCCTGTCCCCCCAAGTGAGGCAGGCA